TTCATCATCTCAGTCCAGGCTTGGATAAATTAGCTCTCAAGTCTCATAAATGTATTTTTCTGGGTCATCCTCGGTCTCAAAAGGGTTACCGTTGCTATTCTCCGACTCTATGTCGATCCTTTATCTCTGTAAATGTTTCCTTCTTTCAATTAGTTCCCTTTTTTGCCTCCTCTAATGCTCCCGTCGACTCTAGTTCTGTTCAGTCATCTATCCATGTAGACTCCTTTGAATACAGTTCGACTTTTCCAGTCCATGTATCTGACTCTCTTTCGATCACCTATTCTCCTGATGAGTTACAACATGTTTTTCTAGATGTTTCTATGGGCTCACTTTCGACTGCATCTTCTCCCTCGACTTCGGTCCCACCTTCGGCTAATGACCTTCTCATTGCTCTTCGTAAAGGTACCCGCGATACTCGCCCTCCGCCCAGGTATACAATTAATATTAGTTACCACTTATCATCGTCTTTCTCCACCATATTATGCATGTCTTTCCTCTTTGTCTTATGTGTCTATTCCTAATACTACAATTGTAACACCCCGTTTATATCCGATAGTGTTATCATATCATCGTATTAAGCTGCGCTTAATAAAAATTGCGGAATATCTTTTTCTTTTCAATTATGACGTCATTATACTTAGCCAAGTTGAATACTTAATTCATTTTCAAAACATTGCCTGTATGTAAATTGCAAATAAACAGCTAACTGAAATACCTCATTAAATAAATAACATAAGTATGTCTCTGGTCACGGAACTACAACACGTAGACCGGACAACCTACTAAGTTATACAACTCAACCAAAGAACTAACATAAAATGGCATGGACAAACCCCATGCTCACCCAAATAAGGCATCGAGCCCCACATAAGTCTCAACCTCAACAGCATAATAATAAGGCGGAAAACATAAACAGCATCCAATCCAGACATGTCAGCATAGATATAACAGCAATATCATCAGCTAAGCTTTGGCCTCCTGCCGCCAGAGGCATCAGCCCCCACATTACCTGAACCTGAAATAAGCGCCCTCAAACGTGGAATGAGATCTCTAAACAAGAAATCTCAGTAAGACAAGGGGTCCTCAAGGATCTTCCACCCCAAGCTCACCTACATGTGCAATATAAGTTCTAAAAGCAGTACTTCAATATCAGTTCCAAAATCAGTGCAATGCAACATATACTCATGTCATGTGTGTTATAACTATTCTACTAATCAGAGAAATGCAGGAATACGTCTATTACCCACATAAATACCAACCCATGCTGTACCCGCCCACAGGAATACCCCATGGCTTCCTGTTTAGACGGAACACCACATACATATCATATAGCATTTGCACTTAACATTTCAATAGCATTTTAGCAAAACAATACATGAAAACACATCATGTATATAAACCACCCCCCCATGGAGTATGGTGAAACAGACAATGGCTAAACTGAGGACACAAAAGCTTACCTTGCAAGCTAGCTATCCAAGCCAAGAGTCCACAATACCTCAGAGTCCACAAATAGCAAGATCACAATCTATTTGGACCAACAATATTATCAATATTTATGCACAACAAGCAAATGATTTAAGAACATTGCCCTTCCTTTACGTTTTACGTCTTTAGACTTCTCACAAAGTCATAAGCCCTTAATCACTTGATTCTTACATAGTTTAATTATTACAGAAGTCCACATAAGTCAATCATGGGTCCACCAACCCAAAATGACATTCTGTATGAACAGTACCGTCACTGTTCCGAAATTCCCAGAATATCCGGATATTTGTCGGGGGCATATCCGGATATCAATATCCGGATATCTCTCTGCCAATATCCGGATATCAATATCCGGATATTCAGATCCCCATATCCGGATATTTCGCGACAGAATGCAGTTCTGCATTTCGCGAGATATCCTTCCAAAGGTTGGGTTTTTAACCCATTCCAACGTCCAAGCATGCATGTTTAACCTCTTTTGAGTTCATATAACAGTTGATTACTTGTTTAACTCATTAAACATGCAAATACACCTCTTTTAATCATTAAAACTCATGATCAAGGTTAGGCAACTCACCCCAAGGCTCAAAACAGAGAAGCAAAGGCTCATGGAGCTCACCAAACAGCTCCAACTATGCAGACCAAGAAGGTGCACGAAAATGCCACACCAAAGGTTGGTTCTTGCACCAAAAGATGACTCATTTGATATTTTAAAGAGTGTTTCTCCAATAAAATGATTTAACAAGGAAAAATCAAAGTGTGAGAGCAAGTGTGTGATTAATAAAATAAGCAAGCAAATAAATAGATGCAAACTATAAATGCAATTTCAATACTAAAGGAAGGTGTGTAAAATTAGAGAAATTGCAACTAGATGTATCCTGGTTCGATCACCACCACCGTGACCTACATCCAGACTGAAGTCGCTCGATCAAACTTTTTCACTAGCTATAAAGCTTGAGGGTGCTTGACAAACCACTACAACCTTTTAAGACTTCAGGTTCTTGATGCCTTACATTTTTTGACTCCAATTTTTCTTAGGAATTTGATGACCTTTCAAGTGTAAACAAGTTGAAGAGTTCACTCCCTTAACTATTCAAGAAATCAAATGGAGGTGTTTAACAATGGCTAAGTACTCTCAAAGTACAGATTATACAAGTTGAAGAACTATGGGTGTTGACACTCTCACAAGAATAAAGCTCAAAGAGAATTTATGATCAAGATGACAAGAATAAAACAAGTATTATGATTTAAATGAAGAATAATGATCAAGAAGAGTTGTCCAATCAATGGAACATGAATCTCTATTTAAAGAGGGCCCCCATAGGTGTTTTTCTACTCATTTTCGCAAACTAGCCATTTTATAGCCGTTATTTTGTCTTCTACACAGTGGGTAATCGATTACCAACATGTTAAAAAGTTGGATTTCACCCCAAAATGGTTTTCTCTTTATTTAAATCAGTTTCAAATACTTTTAATCATTTGATAAACATTTAAAAATAGGTTTTCATGTTAGGACTGAATTTTAAATGTCAAACAATGATTTTAATGCATGTATTTGAAAAAAATGCTTTGAGTTTTGTTCTCGTAACAAATCAATTTCCCTTTCAACTAATCCTAAGTTCTAAAATATATTACTTTGAGGTTGTTTGGACTTAGAGTCTTCTCTTGAAGCTTGAGCCTTGATCTACTTCTTTTTTATTGTTGTACATTGAAGCTTTCTTTCCATGATTGTTTATTATCATCAAAATTCTTGAACCTTCATATTCTTTACATTGAATGCATTGGTTCCACAATCTCCCACTTTTTGATGATGACAAACTCAAATTGAGAGAATGTTTAGTATAACATGTATTAAGACAAGTATAATGTTGAAACTCCCCCTGATCTATGATTAATGTAAAACTTGAAGATATAGGTTTCATGTAACTCCCTTTTATTTTTCAAGTTCATTCTCCCCCTCTTTACCTTAAAATAAGCCTTTGGTTTTCCCTTTTTACCTTAAAATACGCCTTTGGTTTTCTCAATTTACGCATCTCCTCCTTTGGCAACATCAAAAAGCATGAGATCATATAGCAAAATCATACAACTGAAAAAAGAAATCCATGCAAGAAACTAGAAGGAAAGCATAATAATCCTTAAAAGTTCATAATGATGCATAATAATCTAAGTAACTATAGTCCATAATATCAGAGGCCTAGAGATGCAAAATAACCAAAATAACATAACTAAAATATAAGCATAAGAGAAGTCCAAAAGCATAAAATACAGATCAAGAACTAAAAGTCATCAGAGCCACATAATATGTCTGACATGTTGTAGGCAGTATTGATCTTTATCCACGAAAGATAAACTTGATTTATAAATAAAGGGGTTAAATTCCACACATACACACTTTAAAAACCCTAATCTCCTTTAACATAGACACACCTTACCCTAATTGGCATTTGGCAAAAAAAAATAACATATAACATATTATTATTTTAATAAAAAATTGAAAAAACATAAATGTTTTGAACTAATTTATGGATCTATTACACTAGTCATGCTCCACACAAGCGCAACAAGTCGCGCCTCATATAGGCGCAACCTGTGCAAAGTCGTGCCCACACAGACGCGAATCATCCGGTGATGACACATGGCACAGGAAAAGATAACAGTTTGATCGTAAAAATTCGGAAGACCATAACTTTCGACTCGGGTGTCCGAATCAGGTATTTTTTTATTCCACATTATTTTTCAAGATCTACACATGATATCCAATTGAAGGGGATTTGGTAAAAAAAAATGTGATTGATGACACAATCTATTTCTATTCATATTGAGAAAATATATATTTAACAAATAATGTCTGTTTAATTATAATAATACATTATTATACTATGTCAAGAAGAGAAAAAAGGAAAAAAAAAAACTTGTCCATTTTTTCTAGTGTATAAAATTAAACCGGTCTCCAACCAATTTTGTTTCATTGACGAGAAATCAACAAATAACAAAAGCTTTAAAATTTGAATCGTTTCAAGTGCGGTTAATCAATTCCACATAATTTCCCTCTTGGAGTGAACAGATTTTTGCCAATTATTATCATAAGCGATACACCATAACCTAAAAGATAAAAATTGAATATTATTTTAAAAGATGTAAAGTTGTGTCATTTAAATAAAAGAAAGAGATAGACTATACGAGAGAGTAAACAAAAAAAATAAGAATATGAGTATCACCTCTTTATAAGAGTAAAATGACACAAGTTATATTATTTAAAAAGATAAATAATTTTTTTTTTTTGGAAATAAGATAAATAATTTTTTGTAAGAGTAAAACGACACAAGCTATGTCATTTAAAAAGATAAATAATTTTCTCAACCTAAAAATGTTAAAATCTCTCTACCAAACAAAAAAATTGTTAAAATTAGCAAATAACAAAGTTGTTTTTTTTTTTAAACAAAAAAAAAAAAACGAAAGTAGATCCTCGTATAGTTGCTGCTGGAGTCACCTGCTCAGACCAGAAGGCAAACACTCACCAATCCCAAGTCATTGACCTGACCAGAGAGAAGAGTGTGAATGAATTTTAAGTTTGAACTTCGAAGTTGTTCCTCGTTGACATAAATTGTAATCTAGCGTTCCAAATCACGGTGCTTAGTTGTTGTCCGTTCCCTCCAAAACCCAATCGGCGAATGTAACCCTTCACCGGAAACCCAGATGTACTCGAGCAATTTGACCGGGTTCCTCTTGGCCGTCGTCTCCGGCGCTTTCATCGGCTCCAGCTTCATCATCAAGAAAAAGGGTCTCCAACGCGCCAGCGTCAACGGCTCTCGTGCTAGTTACCCTCTATTCCTTCCTCCCTCACTCAATCCTATGCTACATTCTTGTTCGTAATTCTAATTCTAATTCTTTATTTCAGGCGTTGGAGGCTATGGTTATCTCCGACAGCCTCTTTGGTGGCTCGGAATGGTTACCAGTAAGTACCTAATTATATTTCTCTTTTCAATTCAACCCTTTACTTCATTGATTTCGAGCCTCCTCTTTGTTATAGTGATTGTTGGAGAGATAGCGAATTTCGTAGCATATATTTATGCCCCTGCTGTGCTTGTCACGCCACTTGGTGCTTTGAGTATTATTGTTAGGTATACAGCTTTCAAATTTTTAATTCTGTTTGTTTAGCTTTGGCTTTTTGACCATTGTGATGCAAAATCCAAGACATATTACCTGTTTAGTTCTTTGGGTAAAACTACTTACTAATCTAATGCGAGTGAACTGCCCATCCGGAGTGTGCGTGATTGTGCAAAAGTTAGAATGTGCCCGCCACGTGTGCAAGATGCGTATGCGTGCATGCACGACTTGAACACATACGGCTAGGATACGGATCTTGCATTGCGCTGATTTTTGCATAAGTCGTGCATGAAGGAGATGCACGACTTAAATGCGCATACTTTCTATGTGCGTTTCACTCGCATTAAATTGATAAATAATTTGCCAAAAGAATTTAACCAATAATATGTTTGTGTTTATGCATCAGAAGGGTAAAAAAGCCTCTCATTTGCTTTTTATTTTATTATTTATTATTATTTTTAGTTTTAATCCAATGTACTATATTTAGTGCTGTTTTGGCACATTTCGTATTGAAGGAGAAGCTGGGGAAAATGGGCATGCTTGGGTGTCTTTTGTGCATCGTGGGATCTACTATGATTGTACTCCATGCACCTCAAGAAAAGTCTCTTAGTTCTGTACAAGAAATTTGGCAATTGGCTGTTCAACCAGGTATGCTGCTGCCTGCTGAGGTTTCATTGTTTATCCGATAAGAAATGCGGACCCTGATATTGCTGCTTTCTGTTTTGGAATCCAGCTTTCCTCTTGTACACAGCCTCAGCAATGGCTGTAGCATTGTTTTTGATTTTGTATTGTGTTCCTCGCTATGGGCAAACTAACATTTTCGTTTATGTCGGAATATGCTCCATAATTGGATCCTTGACTGTAAGTGACTCTTCCTACCCAATTCAACTTGTGCATAAAAATCAACACCAGAGGTCACCTTTTGTTTTACACTTTCTAATAAAATATGTCATTTCTCAATCTCAGGTCATGAGCATAAAAGCAATTGGCATTGCTATAAAACTTACATTAGAGGGTTCAAACCAGTTTTTCTACTTGCAGACATGGATTTTTACAATGGTTGCAATTTCCTGCATCGTTACTCAATTAAATTACCTTAATATGGTCAGTATCACTCAACTTTTTATGTGAACATAATGTTTGGTGTTTTAAATAAAATAGTCAGAGCCTTAGTTTGTCTTCCCTTGATAATAAAGGACATAGCGATTACTTGTTGGTTTTCTATTATGTGTGTCATCTGCTTGTATTTAGATAAGGAAACATTTTAGTTTGCTGGAGGTGATCATATTTTTTGTAGGCTTCATTGTTGCTTTTTTTTTTTCTGTGGTCACTACCTATTATCAACGTGTGTCTATTGAAGTTTTCATCTAAAGTAGCATATCAATCAAAGAAACTTTTTGTTGGCTATGAGCTAATGTAGAAGTTCGAGATGCAAGCTTCTAGTCCAAATAAGATCATGTAATGCTTGACATGGACCGCCAGGACTGATAATCTTGAAGTCCTGCTTCTTGAATTTTGATTTACAAGATTGTTGTTTCTATGCCTTTCAGTTGTCATCATTTGCTTGTTAGTTGGTCTTCAATCTGGGCTTCCATGATTTCAGGCATTGGATACTTTTAACACAGCAGTTGTTTCTCCGATCTATTATGCCTTGTTCACATCTTTTACAATATTAGCTAGCGCGATCATGTTTAAGGTTGGTATTTTACTGAAACAAAATGAGAAATGCATCCACGGACTTACAGAGACATCTTATGTAGCAAGTGCTCAACTAACTGTTGTATCCTACATCCTCTACTTTTCTTATTTAGGATTATGCTGGTCAAAGTGTAAGCAGTATTGCATCAGAGTTATGTGGTCTAATCACTGTTTTATCTGGAACAACTGTATTGCACAGTACAAGAGAGCCAGATCCTCCAGTCAATACAGGTAATGCCTCATCCACTTTAGTGAGAGCACTTTGGTCTTGTAAGGTCATCACTGTTTTTCCTGCTCAAGATGCTTAAGTTCATATTTACTTGATGGATCTTGAGGGTTTTATTCTTTGTTGGAAATTACTTTTGTAATATAGGCACTGTCAGATTAATGAACTAAGCGTTCTAGTTTCTGATATTTAGGGTTGAGAGTTCTTTAATATTCACCTAAATCCATTATTATATCAATGGACGATTTCTTTTCATTCTATGATTCACTTTCTAAACTTAAATACAGACATTTCTTTAACCCTGCAAAAATCACCTGGAGATTCAAATTGTTGTTCTCATAAATGATATACACCCATGTCATGTCTAACTAGTTAAGTTAGAAAATGAAGAGACATTCGAAGAGGAAAGTTAAACATAAAGTGTTTGGTTAGAGGGCGCATAGACGACATTCAGGACAGACTAGGATTTCTTAGCATAAATAGATATGCTTTGACTGTGAGATTGGAATTTGTTTTCTTTTTTCTAGTTATGTTTAAGTTGAGAGGCTAATGCTGTTTCCAAAAGGGCAGTTTTTCCTCCTTCCTCATGAACAAACTGGTAGAAATTTCCTAATTATTCTCCACATGCAGATTTATTTAGTCCCTTGTCTCCAAAAGTATCATGGTATATCCAAGGCAATGGCGAACCTCGGAAACAGGAGGAGGAGGATGGATCACCCTTTAATTTAATTACTGTTATCCGGCAAGACCATTTCAAATGATATCAGAAGTCTTATGCTGGTGGAACAAGACCTTAGTTAGATCCATCCATTGCTATCCTGCCATCTAGACAGGGCACCCTTACTTTTCTCATTGTCACAGCTCTTCGACTTACTTACACCAAGAAACAGAAATATGGCAGGCTTATTAACTTTACTCGACAGAAATGTGGCTTGTTATAGGGTTCATCTCAGTGACCACATCTATTTGGTTTAGCTAGAGATTCAAGAGACACTATCGCATTGTGCAAGCAGAGACGAGACAGTGCTTCCTTTTTTCGGTGGTTTTGTTCATTGGTAGCATATGAAGTGAAAGCTTGAGTACTATCATCTAAAATTCCGGGGGTGATGCATCTTCCAGTTTGCATTATTGTTATTATTATTATTATTATTTTGCATTATTTTTACCCTCTTGTTTTCCTTCCCCCCCCCCCCCCCCCCCTCCTCCCCTCTTTTGTTTCTTCCTTCTTCAACTGATTCAGTTGAATAATGAAAATCCTGGTTCTGGTTTTGGCCAGGTGGTGGGAGGTAATCTATGTATATTGATCAGTGTAATTTTAATTATTTAATTAGAGTTTGAACCTTATTGGTGGGATATGATATCTATAATATTTATTATTTAGCAGTTATAATCTTCTATGCTTGGAGACCATTAAAGGACTTGAGATTCTGAACCAAAACAAAGCTATTCGGGCTTAAATCATTTGAGGCGAGATATTATGATACACGTTTTTTATTTGGATACCGTAACTGCTATTTTAAGACAGGTAACGGATCCACTTATCATCAAAAAAGTTTACAACTCTTACCACCAATTTAATCAACGTTGATTTTCGTCAATCTAACGGTTATAATTTATTGAAAATTAATAGTATTTATTGTGTCACATTTATTAATTCCCAATAAATTTTAAACGTTAGATTGATGAAAATCAACGGTGATTAAATTGGTTGTAAAAGTTGTAAACTTTTTTTGTGGTAAGTGGATCTCCTTCTTTAAGATAATATGCTTATTTGAATTGTATAAAAAAGGTTACTTTTGAGTAATATATTATAAAAATAAGTATGAAATGTTTTAAAATATTGGTTGGAGGACAGTGAAGTATTTTTTTTAGAAATAATATAAAATCAAGAATATGAAACTTGATATTATAGCTTCAAGAATAATGCTATTTTTTGTTTGAAAATTAATTAGCTTTTAATCTAACAAACAAATTATGTTGTCAAAAAGTAAAACAGCTTTTATGATTAAAAAAAATCTATTTTCTAGCATAACTCAACAAAATAAAAAATGCACATAGAAGTTAGAATGAAGAGACATGCTGTGGAACTTGCATGCCTATGATTTGATTGAAAAAAGTTTTTTGATTTTTAGAAAAAATAAATAAAAAAACCTATTTGATAAGATCTAAAAAATATAACTGTCTATACAAAAAAATAAAAATAAAAATATAACTGTCAAATTTAAAATAAAAAAATACAGAAAACATCCATTTTATTAACTGTACAAAATAATTTTAAAGAAAAAAAATAAAACACAATCAGACAGAGGCTATTAGGAATAACAAGCACATTCGTTTTAGAACATTTATAACTCGAAATTTGGCAGTAAAAAACTAATTTGACATTGAGATATAAAATTATACTACACAAACAAACACGTTGTGGCTGTAGTTTAGTGGTAAGAATTCCACGTTGTGGCCGTGGAGACCTGGGCTCGAATCCCAGCAGCCACACATATTTTGTTTTAATTATTTTTAATCTATTCCTGGAACAAAAAGAAACCTAATTTGCAAATTGAAAAGATAAAACTAGTATTATCTCATGTCAATGATATTTATCTTCTTCTTTTTTAATTTTTTTTTATGCAATGACATTTATCTTTAATCTACTACTAAACATAAGTTTGCCCACCAAGAAATAGCCTGAGAAGCCACCATTCTCCACCAATAAACCTAAACACCGTCTAATGAAAGATTTAAGCTTAGATATGATATATCTCTTTGAATACTCGAACCTCCTCTCCTTGAATACTGAACTAACTTGAGTGTTGCCCTATGATTATGTTCTAGCCGTGTTGGTGTTGGACCAATCAATCTTCATTGACATTTGGCTCAGTATGCACAGCCCATCATTGGGCCAGAAAATTCAGCAAACCTTGAGGACAAGGTTTCTCTTGATGGACTGGCGAATGTAGCAGATAACAGGCCCAAGAGAAACATTAATAGGCCCAATCATCTTAAGGACTATATTGTGGGCTGACAAGAGGAACTAACAATTGTCCTATATATAAGTGGCTTTTAGGAACTAAGAAAATATAGAAGATAATAGACTATTATCTCTTTCACATCCCTTTTTCCTCTTCTTTCTCTTCTCAATTACTGTAATTCTCTTCTCTGTAGCATTCATACATTGCTACAGAATATAAGGATGATTGATTAGTGTAATTCTCTTCTCAATTACTGTAATTCCACTTGCAAGCATCAACGACTATCCCCACACACTAACACGAGACTTTTCAGCTTGCTTTGTCCTCACTCGCACACTTCCCGGGAAAACTTCCCAGGAGGTCACCCATCCCTGAATTGTTCCAAGTCAAGCACGCTTAACTGTGGAGTTTTTCCGATCCGGGCTACCGAAAAGTAGATGCATCTTGTTAGTATAGGTAGTACCAATTAATTCTTATAAGCTATTCTCAGTTGTGCTGTCCTATACCAGCACAATCTCTGGAATCCCTCTCTTTTCGGTGTTATTCAATTCATTCATGTACCCCTCCTGCTGATAGTACGCTAGCTCTTCCACTAACCATACATTCAATTGTACATTAGCTCTTCCACTAACCATACAATTGTCAGCACTCGGGATGTTACAAGAAGCCCAACCTTAACCATTATGTCTATTTCGACACAAACCTGCTTCCATTATGTGGGGTGCCCAGTAATCATTTTTTATTTATGGTAAAAACCCAGTAATCATTTTTATAGTTACCATTGGGACTCACGACAAGTGTACCAATCGTATAAGTAATATAATGTTTAAGTAAGAGATCGTTCCCACGAGGATTCTAAATCAAGCACTAATTCACTAATTCAACTTAAGTTGGACAATCGAAATTGTATTTGTAACAGGATTTGAATTGAAATTTAAAATATTAAAACTAATTTAAAACAAGAATAAGAACAAGAATTTAATGATTTAAATTTACTTAATAGAAAATAAACGTAGCCATGGCTTCGATTTCCCTCAATCTCTCTATTATGTTTGAGTTCCTTCGTTAAGTTAATCGTCTTTAATATCAATTCAATCGATTCTTTTAATTTAATTAGGACTCAATCCCTTGACATCCTAAATCTTTACAATCTTGAAAGAACCCTAGTTCCCCGGATATTCTCCATGAAAATAAGCATTAAGTTCAAGAATCCTAAGACTGCGCAAAACCCTAGAATCATAAGGATTATGATAAAATTGTCAGATAAAGATCATGCACCAACGTTCCTATTGTCATACAATTACCGAGGATCAATCTACAAGATTCAAGCTCATAGAAAGCATTAATAACAGACAATTTCATTCATGATAAAAAGGAAAATTAACGTAAAGAATTATTCAAAGCATAATAAATAAATCGAGTTCCATCTAACCCTAACTACTTAAAAGATTTAGCTAGACATGGTGAAATCAAGAAAGAAAAGAATTAGAAAAGCTCCCCGAAATTCCAATATTAGAATGAGAATTCTTCAATAACTCCAGTGCAGACTTGACTCCGATCCGTCTGCGACCTTTAAGAACACGAACTGGGTGTTTCTTCGCGTTTCCTTTGCCTCCAAGTACCAAGAATTGTCAAAAGCTATCTATTTTTAAGAGAAAAAAATCTGTGCCCTAGGTGGTTAATTGAAGTGGGCTTAAGTTGGTACATTCGGGGTGCTTAAGCCTTAAAAGGTTCTTAGCCTCGCATGGCTAAGGTAAACATAATTGAAATAAAAAGAAGAAGAAGAAAAAGATGAAGAACGCGAAGAACGCTTCAGAGAAAATACTTTGATCCTCAATTTCAAAAATTACAGAATGAATACAATATTTCCTACTCTGCCGTCATATACCCCTACCCAAAGCGGGTTAGGGTTCAGTTCTGACCGGCCGATATGTCTAAAATATGAAATAAAATACATAAAATAAAATAAAACTTCAGCAAAACGTGTCCGACTTGGCGCAAGAAATAGACTAGCTTCCAATCCGAATTGGGCTTCGAGCTCTCATAAGAATTGTAGCCCTTTGTGTTATCTGAAAAACCCAATAAGAACGGAGTCAATCCGACAACTGTGGACCAAGATATGGCCAAAATACAGAAGTAACGTAAAGCTGAAAAATTCTGACGAAAATAAATTAAACCCAATCAAAAACTAAAAATGTAAATTAACTCAAAACATCATTATTTTATTCAAATAAATCCTAAAAATACTAATCAAGAGTAACAAATAAGTGTAATAAAATATGAGTTATCAAGCCTCGAAGATTATGCATGCATTTTTCACGTGGCGTGCTTAAGCGCGCTGATGGGCGGTTAAGCGAGCACTTCGAATCAGAATTTTTTATTTGTAGCGCGCTTAAGCCTGAGTTTGGGGCTTAAGCGCTCTCAGGCAGTGGCTTTTGGCTCTTTTGGAGTTCTTGGGGGCTTAAGCCCCAGATTGGAGGCTTAAGCCTCCACTTCAAGAATTTGATTTTCTTCATTTTTCTCCAAATAAGATCTTCATATTTTCAATTCTTGATCTCCATCTCTCCAAACTTCATATTTGCATCCATTTAACATCAATTCTCTTCAAAATAAGCAAATATACATTATTTCAGTCATAATTCACAAAGTTCATGTTTTGTGTCAATAAACCCTAGTTTTCACTTATTTAACTTGATTATTCATGTAAATTTAGTCTATAAAACTAGATAAACTAAAGGTTTATCAGTTACTCACAGAATCCAAGAAAGAAATAATTGATTTTAGTTGTTTGGAATAAAAGAACAATATTCATAATTTTAGATTATTGTACCTTCACAGTATGAAGTTAGAAAATAAAAATATAATACAATAATGTCATTAATTATTACTCTTATGAAGTTAGAGACTACTTAATTTTTGGGAACTATTAATAAAAAATGTAGAATAAGAAAAAGACAAAAAGATAATTATTTGAAATATAATTTTTAAATAAAAATAAATGGCATAATAGAAAATATGCACATTAAAGAAAAGTATGAATATAAATAAAGATGTTAATTATAAAAGTTGCAAATTATTCATGATAGAGCCACTAAAATTCATGAAGTGTGGAGGGCGGAGATGAGTTTTGGGCTAAAATCGGGAAGCGCATATCAAACTAATTTCATTCACTGGAGAATGCTTGAGGAAGGCTGGGTCAAACTAAACACAGATGGAGCTGCTCGTGGTAATCCTAGCCAGATTTCCTGTAGGGGAGTAATCCAAAACTCTGATGGGGAATTATGTGGTGGATTTTCCTACTTTATAGGAATTTGCATGGCCTTCTTAACAGACTATGGGGATATTGAAATTCACTAAAATATCATATCCAAACTAAAATATATATTGAAATTCATATCCTTAGCTTAAAAAAAAATAAAAAAAATTCATCCTTAATATCATTACAAAGTTAAGAAATTTGTCTAATTTACCATTCTTAGAAGAAGAAAATAGACCGATGATAAAAAAGGTTCAAATATATTAGAAACTTACAACAATTATGAAAAGACAAAAAAAAATAGACCAAATATGTGTAAACCAAAAGAAGAAAATAAACCGAGGATAAAAAAATAGAAGAAAAAATAAAAGAAAATATGTTGAATACTTACAACGATTACATAAAAGACTAAAAATGAAAAAAGTCTAAATCAAAAAAAGAAGAAGACCGAAAACAAAAAAAGAAATAAAAAGAAGAATAAAACCAAATATGTTGAAAGTTTGCAACAATAATTGAAAAGGCTAAAAGTCAAAAAAATAAAAGTAGAATTTAGGAGAACTGTTTCAATTCATTTCTATATTGATATTAAAAATAAAGCATTGAAATAGTTTTATTTTTCCTATCAAGTTGTGAAACTTAAAAGTGTCTTTTGCTAAACTTTTGTTGTGAGAAGTAATATGATGAGATGTCTGTTTATCTTATTTTGCTTATGAATTTTTTGGTAAATAAACTATTTTTATGCAATAATCTGATGAACTTTACAAAAAATTTCATGCCTATTATCTTCATGTTCATTATTTCACAAGTTGAAATCGGAATTAGAACTGATTGGGTTGGATTTCTTCCATTTTTTTTACTTTTCGTGTTTTTTATTGGTGTTGTAAGTTTTCAATATATTTAGTCTTGTTTTTTCTTCTATTTTTTTTGTCCTTAGTCTATTTTTTATTATTTAAACATATTTGTTCTTTCTTTTTCTTCTATTTTCATTTTTTTTTCACTTTTAGTCTTTTATGTCACTTGCAAGTTTCCAATATATTTGGTCTTATTTTTCCTTTTATTTTTTTAGTCTATTTTCTTCTTTTTGATTTAGACTATTTTCATTTCTTACTTTTAGTGTTTTCTCTCATTTTAAGTTTGCGGAACAGTGACCAAAGTGCCATTTTTTGATAAATTTTTTATCCAAATGCCAAGCGAATAGTACTTTTTACCACACTGCCACATGTCATAATTCGCTACCATTGGTAGCGAATTACGTTCGCCAATAATTTCGTGACACGTAGCCATATTACTGACCAAATTCGCTACCACTGATAGCAAATTATGACACGTCAGCTTTTTCCTGCGAAAGTGTGTCACGTGTCACAAAATCATTGGTGAACGTAATTTGCTACCAGTTGTAGTGAATTATGACATGTGACAATCTGGTAAAAAGTACTGTTCACGTGACATTTTGGCAAAAATTTTGCCAAAAAATGGCATTTTAGCCACTCTCCCTAAGTTTGCAACGTATTTGGTCTTTTTTTTTTGTCCTTAGACTATTTTCTTCTTTTCAATTTATACATATTTTTTTTCCCTTCTATTTTCATTTTTTTTTTACTTTTATTCTTTTCTGTAAGTTTTGTAAATTTTCAACATATTTGGTTTGACTTTATTTTTTTCTTTTTTTGTCATGAGTCTATTTTCTTCTTCTAAGAAGGGTAAAATAGACAAATTAGATAAGTTTCTAATGGTATTAAGAATGAATTTGTATAGAAAAAATAATAAGGAGATAATTGATAAGCAATGCAAAATCAAGCATAAAGTATCAAAGCATGAAACTAAGTCAAAGATCACATTAGAATATATATTTAGGATTTAGAACAATATGTCAAGGTGTATACTAGATAGCAATGCATGAGCTTTAGTTATTCATATCATTGCATAATCATAAAGTGCTTAAAAACCTTAGCTTAATAAGTCAAAATTGCATCAAAATGCTTTTAACATGATTTGGGCATACAAGCAGCCTTGCACAACTTAAATATACTTGTTCACACTCATGAAAATCTATTTGAACTTGAAAGAATGCATCTTGAACTCTAAAGGTTGAAATAGGACAATTTGGATGGATTAATATGTCAAAATTGGTTTGGAATGATATTCACATGTTTTGAATACTTAGAAACATTCTCCATATCCAATTACATCTGTTTTATGGATTAGAAGTCATTTTGTTGGTGAAGAATTTAAGATTTCGTGCAAAAGAGCCGATGCCATGAAATATTTGGATATTGGATTTTTCAATATCCGAATATCAATATCCGGATATTTTTCTGACAAATATTTGGACGAACATACATCAATTATTGAACCATTATTACTCCTTCCAACTCTTTATTGCTCATTGATTACATACTTTGATCATTACATATTCTTGAGCTCATCTTTGATTTAAAGCTATACACTTATTAGTTCTTCAACTTATATAATCTGTACTTTGAGAGTACTTATCCATTGTCAAACACCTCAACTTGATTTCTTAAATTAAGAGGGGAGTGCACCCTTTGTATTTGAGAGGATACCAAAATCTTAAGTAAATTTGAAGTGAAGTGTAAAGGCATCCTAGAGCGCGAAGTCTTGGAAGATTGTAATGATTTATCAAGCACCCTTTAAGTTTGATAGTTAGCGAAAAAAATTGATCGAGTGATTTTAGTCTAGACGTATGTCATGGTGGTGGTGACCGAACCAAGATACATCTAATTGCAATTTCTTTAACATTAAATTTTTTACTTTAGTCTTAAAATTATATATTTAGATTGTGTTTATTTATTCACTAGCTTATATTTATTGATCACATACTATTACTACACTTAAATTTTTTCTTGTTAAATCATTTAATTGAAGAAATATTCTTTAAAACATCAAAAAAAATATTTTGCGAAAAGATTTTATATATAAAACTCAATTCTCCCCTTTAAAATATTGAAACCACTTGTCTAAGAAGTAAGAACGTCAACGTTAGATTAGATTAAATTTTATATCATACTTCAGATTGGGATTGATATTATTTCACTGTTACGTTACACATGTAACTGCTAATATACATTATCAATCACATCTTGCAGTATTTCACTCCATTCTGTTAGTATTTTTCTTTTTTTTCGTGCTTCCTCCTCCTCGCCCTCGTTTTCTTTCTCTTTCTTATGGGCCTGAAATGGATTCCAATTCACTACTAGAAAATACATGTATAGTAACGGAATTGCTATGAAAATTCCGTTGCTAATTTCATCCTCGCTACTATTTTCCGTCACAAATTCCATCGCAAACAATTTTGGGAGGGAATTTGTGACGGAAAATAGTAGTGACGATGAAATTAGCGACGAAATTTCCATAACAATTTCGTCGCTATATAAGTTTTTTCTAGTAGTGATTAACGTTCATATTTGATAAGATATGAAATCTTTTTGCTCAATAAAGTAAATCAAAATATCTCTAATCTTTAATTTATTTAAAAAATATTAATTAAAATTTTATCCAATTAAAATAAACTGGTAAAATTAGGTAGGAAGAGTTTTGCCTCCAATATGATTTTACTTGGCTTGAATTAGATTAATTGAGTAATTGAGTAATTGATGATCTCAAGGATAACATATATATATATATATATATATATATGAGAAATATTACTCTCCTTTTACATAAGGTAACTTATCTCATTTTCTCTCACTTCGATTTTCGCACCCCACTTTTTTCTTCTTTTTCTTGTAATGGTGGGACCCACCCATTTTCTCTCTACCACACATATATATATATATATATATATATATATATATATATATATATATATAAATTTAAAATATTTTTTGCAACAAATATATATTCACTTTATAAATTTCTATTGTCTTATCATAAGAGACTAGATTCCACTTTTAGTGGAAAAGATTCACAGAGATTCCATGTCACAAAGCATACACATCACCTGCAGTTTGTACTCTTCTAACAGTAAGAAGCATTCCCATCCCCATATTATGAGGATGACCAAGTCCAAAGAGCATTGAAAGTAACTGATCCTCTTAGGTTTTATTTGGGACACATGCTATACCACACAGAAAAAGAGAGAAATCATATATATATATATATATATATATAACCATATCATGAGGTAAGTGGCTAGTTAATCTAGCATCCATGGCTTCTTCTCCACCTTTGCCAATAGCATACGAAGCAGGGACGAGTTTAGCGGTGCCAGAATGGTTGAACAAAGGGGATAACGCATGGCAAATGATATCAGCAACACTGGTTGGGATTCAAAGCATGCCAGGGTTGGTGATCTTATACGGAAGCATAGTAAAGAAAAAATGGGCCGTGAACTCAGCTTTCATGGCTCTCTATGCATTTGCAGCAGTTATTATTTGTTGGGTTACATGGGCTTACAAGATGTCCTTTGGGCGTAAACTGTTACCCTTTTGGGGAAGAGCTGGTCCTGCCTTGGGACAGAAGTTTCTGATCAAACATGCGGCGCTGCCGGCCACCGCGCATTTCTATCACAACGGCGTCGTGGAGACGGCGGAGATTGAGCCGTTTTATCCTATGGCCAGTATGGTGTGGTTCCAGTGTGTTTTTGCTGCTATCACTGTTGTTATCTTGGCAGGATCAGTTTTGGCTAGGATGAACTTCAAGGCGTGGATGATGTTTGTGCCTCTATGGGTCACTTTTAGTTACACTGTTGGTGCTTTCAGCTTGTGGGGTGGTGGCTTCTTGTTCCAGTGGGGTGTTATGGATTATTCTGGTGGTTATGTCATTCATCTTTCTTCTGGTATTGCTGGCTTCACTGCTGCTTATTGGGTTAGTAGTTACTGATGTTCTTGCTCTTTTACCCTTTCATACTTAGTACCTCCAGAAAATTTCAAGTATTGTGTTGCTTCATTTTTTTTAATTATTAACTTATTAATAATTTGCCCAAGTTAAGAGATTCAACTTATGTGGTTGAGATTCAGCAAAAATAAAAAAGACAGATATGTATATCAACATCTTAGGGTCAATTTTTTCATTGATTGCGTATAACTATTTTTTTTTCCCCTTTAGCTGGTTTGGCAGTAGTAGAAAATCAATAACTTTGACGACGGACATATTCCGTCGATAATCAAGTAATTTCTGTCAAAAAATTTTGTTTGGTAAGATTACAAAAGTCAAGGGTAATGGTGTAAGCACTAATTAATTACTTAATTAAGGAGGTACATAATAGAGAAAGTTAGAGTAATTTTTCGGGTCAAATAGTGAGGTAAGCCGAGGTGAGGGGAATGGTGCAGTAAATTGTAAGACTTTTTTTTATAGGAATCCAATTTTTCCATGATTTTGATCTTTGAATATTTTTAAAATAAAATTAATGCTATTAATACCATGAGGGATGTGGTATTATTGGATTTCCGATAAGTGAAAAAATATTTTGATCTCTGCGTCAGCAACGCCAAACAATATTTTCTTCCTGCACCACTAACGGGGTAATGGCACCACTAGCGCTAAGTCTTCAAGTGATATTTTATTTGCACGCCAATAGCACAATAATGGTGCCACTAGTGCTAGTAGTGTAATTTTTAAAATTACCTTATATTACCAATAATATTTGACAATTAACCAAACATAGAATTAGAAAATTTGAACTAACATTCCTGGTAATATTTTGGCTTACCAAATAATTTTTTGTCACATCCCTAAAAAATTTATTTTTCCAATATATTTCTGAGTAATCGTGATTTCTAAACATAAAAAAATTTCTCCTCTACCAAACACTTACTAACTATTGTAATAGTATATATGAAGTATGGATGTACCATCATTATATATTAATTTTAAGGTTATCTATGTACGTCTCGTTCAAATTTTTGAATACTTTTTTGCTTGTAGTGTCATCACAAAAGAAAATAATCAATGTTATTCCCAACAAAATTGTATAGATTTAAGTCCCAAGTGGAGATGGTGATGTTGATGAAAGGTAGTTGAACGGATTAAATTAATGATTTTTATGATTTAAATATATTAGGTGGGGCCAAGATCAAAGAAGGACAGGGAGAGATTCCCACCAAACAATGTGTTACTAATGTTGGCAGGAGCAGGACTACTATGGCTAGGATGGGCAGGTTTCAACGGAGGAGATCCTTATGCAGCCAACACAGATTCATCCATGGCAGTAATCAACACCAACGTCAGCGCCGCCACAAGCCTCCTTGTGTGGACATGGCTCGACGTTATTTACTTCAAGAAACCCTCCGTTATTGGAGCCGTTCAGGGCATGATCACTGGCTTAGTTTGCATCACTCCTGGCGCTGGTACGTACCTCCTTTTTTACATTTATTTTTTTAATATATATATTTATTATGACAATTATAAGGAGGTTTTAACTGAATCTAAGGGATGCCATTGTTGACTTTTCTGAATATTTTTTTCCCACCAAAGTCGAGTACACTTAACAATTTCATACTTGATTGTATAATAAGAAAAAGAGGAAGGTTATACTTACAATTTTTTTTTATAACTTCTTGTAATCATATCTTAACACTGTTAATTTCTGTCAATTAACAGTTATGATTTTCGTAAATTAAACTCATTAATTAATTATTAGTTTACAATAAATGATAACGGTTGATTGTCAGAAATCAATAGTATTAAGATATGATTTTAAGAGGTTGTAAAAAAAAATTATAAGTATAAATTTCTTAGAAAAAGTAAAGTTAGGAGACCGATTAGAAAAATGATATATTTTTTAAAGAAAGACTGATTAGCTTAATATCATGTCATTGGTGTGCGTTCTCAATTGGCTAGATGACCTGTTGGTTAGCTGGCATATAATATATTGACCATCTGACAAGGTCAAAACACTTAAAATACTTATGACATATGGATCCTTTTTATACGTGATTATATTCCCCCCATACTTACGACATATGGATCCTCTTTATTGTCGTGACCTATACTAGCATATCTTTAGTATAATAATTATAATAAGAATACCTACTCCTTTACTAAAAATAAAAAAGGTGGGACTTAGATAAGAATAATCATAAAAAAAATAGGTAAAATGATAAAAAATATTTTTTTTTCAAATTTAATAAAAGATCTACTGAATTTTCAATACTACCAAAATATGGAAGATATTTTCAACCCGTACACTTGAAGAGTTGACAACCTCGCACCATTGTGGAACCCACGTGATTGGAAATGGTTAAGACACTATATTTCTCACACTTGAGAAATCTTATGTACTAAGTACTGTATCCCGTCTAAAAAAGGCATGTTCATTACCATCACTTACCTTATTGAAGCTCTGTCAGATTCTCCTCTCACTGGCTATATCTCTGAACCCATTCACTTCCTCTTTGACTCTCAGCTCTTTTGAGGCTTATACGGTCCTTCCAAAGCTGTGAATACTATTTCCTCTTCAATTATCGTCATATTAATATACTTCACCCGTATTAGGAAAACATCTTCCAATTCTCCTTTGTGACAAGTTCAGTGTATAATTTCTTCTATGCTATAAAGGATTACAAGTTTAACTAAGATCTGTACTCAAAATTCACAAATCTAATTACTTGAGTTCTGAACAAGTAACAAAAGTTATCTAATTCTCTTATACCCACGCATTATATATTATATATACTCTTAGAGATATATAAAATCACTAATGTAACTTCACTTTCAATTTGAGTTTTTGGGTTAAATTTGTTCTTTATATGATAGCTTTCGTGACCAAGTGGTCACGAGTTCGATCCTCGCTGCCTCTCATTTTTTCTTTTGAAATTTCTTAACACAAGTAAATGGGTCTGTGCATTGTCCATCCTTCAAGTCTAATAAACTTTTGTGTAATAAGACGTGTTAGAGATATATAAAATCATTAATATAATCTCACCTATCAGCTTAAACTTTTGAGTTGAATTGATTCCTCAATCTCACGTAATTCTAATAGTATATGTGGCTAAAGTTTTTTTCTTTTTTCTTTTTAAAGATCAAATCCCATTATTCGATTGGAACCACGAAAACTAGAGTTGGTATCAAACTCTATTCTTTTCACAGTTTTTCATTTGGGTTTATCGCAGATCCCGATTAATTTGGAATAAAAGTGTGGTTGATGTTTTAATAATCATGTTTATATTGTTTCTGAACAGGCCTGGTTCAAGGATGGGCTGCCATAGTGATGGGAGTTCTATCAGGAAGTGTGCCATGGTTCACTATGATGATATTAGGCAAGAAGTTAAAAGTGTTCCAAAATGTAGATGACACCCTAGCGGTGTTCCACACTCATGCTGTGGCCGGATTCCTTGGCGGTATACTCACCGGCCTCTTCGCGGAGCCCCGTCTAAGTGCACTCTTCTTGCCCGTTACCAACTCTAGAGGTGGAGTCTATGGAGGCTCCGGTGCAGTCCAAATCCTTAAACAAATAGTGGGAGGATTGTTCATCATTGGATGGAACGTTGTGGTCACTTCAATTGTTTGTCTAGTTATAAATTTCATCGTTCCACTGAGAATGCCTGAGGAGGAGTTGCTGATTGGGGATGATGCAGTTCATGGGGAGGAAGCTTATGCTTTGTGGGGTGATGGTGAGAAACTTGGAATTTATGTAGATGAAACCAGCCACCTTAGAGCGGCATCAAGTGGTGCCACTCAAGTCGTCTAGAGGATTGCAAATCAAAAGCTTGAAGAGTTGATTCCTTATTGTTAGTATATTCACTATATATTAATGGCAGTTTGTGTGTGTCATAATGTATAGCTAATTTGGCGAAAAATCTAGGTACTACATGTGTAGGTACAACGGACCAATAAGAATGCGCCATGTCAACTGTTATTGTATTGTAAAGAGAAATAAAAAAATAACTTTTATATTTTAAATTATGTACTACTGGTAATACATAGTGTAAATATCACCGTCACATCTAGTGATCAGTACGACGGTGATACTAAAAATGCTCTCCTAATTTGTGTCTGAACTTGGGAAATATTGATGATACTACTACTGCACCATTTACTCGGTGCAACTAGCCAATAAAAATTGAGGAATTATTGTAATGCTTGTGCAAACAGGAGAAAAAAATAATTTTTTTATCAAGTGTCACTTCTTGAATTGCAGATGTATCTACTACAGAAAATGATGAGATATTGACCATAATGACACGTTTGTCACTAAAAAATACCAGTATGCCACGTTCCAATCAAATTTTGCCAAAATGCCACGTTACATTCTCGCTACACCACCCAGCGAGAATGGACTGGACACGTGGCAGCGTCTGCATGGCAGCCATTCTCGCTGAGAAACTTCTAGTGGAGCTGGCGCTATCCGCGAACAATTATCTGATCTGGATTTAAAACTTAAACATTCACTCTCTTTCTGTAAAGAACCTTGAGATACACCATCCCAAAAGCTAGCTCAAAGGGTGAGAGTGCCCAAGGTCTTATAAACTCCACATTAGTTGCACATACAACTAATGTGGGACTATATAACTCAACACGTCCCCTCACGCAAGAGCCCTTTGGGCTTAAAGGGTGGATTATGCACAGGCCCAATTTTTTGTTTACCTTTTTGTGCTTTTTATTTTAATTCGCCTTTAAAGTGGGGGGCGGTGAGGATCGAACTTGTGACCTTGTAATCACTCAAGCTCTGATACCATGTAAAGATACTCGGGATACACCATCCCAAAAGCTAGCTCAAAGGATAAGAGTTCCCAAGGCCTTATAAAGACCACATTAGTTGCCGACACAATCAATGTGAGACTATATATCTCAACACTTTCTACCGAAGAAAGAAATATTTATAACAACGAAGCAATTGTCAAGGGCGCGCGCTACTACTGAGCTAATAGCCCATCGAACCCTCGGTACAAAAATTCGTACAACGGATTAGCAATCCGACGCTTTAGTCCACTCAGCCATCTTTCCCCACTAAAAAAAAAACTATTCTTTATATCTTACTTTTTTCTTATTTTTTTTATGGCTGAGTGCTGACACGTGGCAAAAGTACATGCATTCTCGCTGGGCAGCCCAACGAGATTAGCCACCTAAACAACTTTTGCAGAGAATGTCTGTACTTTTGCCACGTGTCAGCGCCCTGCCATTATCGCTGGGCTGCTCAGCTAGAATGGCTGCCCATACAGACGCTGCCACGTGTCTAGTCTATTCTCGTTGGGTGGCGTAGCGAGAATGTGACGTGATATTTTGGCAAAATTTGATTGAAATGTAACATGCAGACAAATACTATTCATAAGAGTCACATATTGGTCAATTTCCCGAAAATGATCTCCTGGAACTGGGTGTGAATCTATGTTGGGGAAAGTGAGTCCTCGCAAAAGGATCTGATCTGTTTTATGTTTGTGTATTTATACATGTGATTCTGATTTTGTTATGTTTGTGTATATATGCGTTATCGTTACTCTGATTTTATTGGCCTTCTTTTTTAGCGTTTAGGTGGTGTTTGGTTAATGGGTTTTTGACAAAACCCATGGAAATGAAGATAGCATTTTGGAAAGCCAACGTTTGGTTCATAGAGATTTGGCTGAATACCCAGGCAAAATGGATGCATACCATTTTCAATTTACTGCCATTTACCTATGCTTCTGCACTGTTTAAAAACCCAAAAAAGGAGGTGGTTTTTTCAAAGAAACCCAGCTTTCCAGGTAGCGTTGCAGACGGGGCATACGAGTTGTAATTTGTTTTGGTTGTTTTGGTTGCAGACGAGCGTTGCAGACCGGGGCGTACGAGTTGTAATTTGTTTTGGTTGTTTGGTTGTAAATTTTATTATAACAAGGGTATTTTCGTCATAGTACATTATTTCCCCATATATATTATTCTTATCCGTTCTCCAATACACGCTTTTCAGCAACAAAGACTTTTCATGCATGATTAAAAAAAAAAAAACTGCATTCATATTCATAGTGTTACAAAAGGGATAATATGGGCCAAGATATAAAAGTACATATTTTCTAATATGATGATTATTTTACATAAATATAATCCAACTCGATAAGATTAATTGAATAATCGATAAATTATTAGAAAAATATTATTTCACGGAATTAAAGTAGGCATAAACTCAAAAAGAGACTTCCAAGAAAACTTGGATTTCACGTGGTAAACTGTTACAGAGTTATTTATCTATCCCATTATATCTTGTTTTATTTTGAAAATTAATAGAGAACTAATTACATTAAGATGCTTAAATATCAAAAGATACTCTCAACGAATAGAAAAATCCACGCAGGAGATTTAGAACTCTGGGACGATCATCACGAGCTGAATCTATTTTTTCTTTGCAAGATCTGCAGGATGACACCCATCTCATAGTTGCTAGTCCAAATAACATTTAATGGTCTAGACAAAACTATGTTTCCATTCCAAGTGGTTAATATTGTATCACATTTTAAAAGTGCTTCAATGAACTACCCAAAAAAAAAAAAAAGTGCTTCAATATTCTATCATTGTATCATGCAAACAAAGTCGAATATCGAAGAGGAGGGATAAATGCTACTTACCAATATGATGATCAAGAAAAGACTTTGCAAGATAATCTTCCTCATAGATTTTGATACGCCCACGTAGGTCTTTATGGTGTTGGACTGGCTTTCGAATAGTAAAAGTCTCTTGTGCTCTTCCTGATTGTAAGGCATTTTAAGTTCTTTCATGAATTTTTCTCTAAACTCTCTAAGATTTCCTTGTATTGGCTTCATAATTGTTAGGAATATAAAACATAATTAACCATATCAATTGGCTAGATAAGTGTAACTCAAGTATATATAGGTCTCTTTGTGCTACTGCAATGGTAACTAATTAAATAACCATTGAACTTAAGGTGTATGTCTTTTGAACCATTTTCCTAGATACCAATAATATAAAATAACTTTATCTACCAAAAAATCAAGAAGTATAAAAAACACCAATAATAATGATATACAAGATTTTACATGAAAATCCAACCGGAAAACATCACGGGAATAACTCTCAGAATTTCACTAAAAATATCTGGAGTATTTAAAAAACTTATCTCTATGAGAAAATAATAATAACTCCCTCACACTAAAAATGCTTTAATTTGACATTTCTCTTTAAATTTTTTTACTAAAGCATTTGTTATGCTTTTTTTTGGTGTGTTTAAAACTTGCTCAAACACCCTTTATATAGACAAGTTTTCATCTAATCAAAAAGCTCATAAGTAATAGCCAATATAGTAACATGTTTTCCCATGTGGAAAACAAGTAGCCGATCATGTTTAAAATTAATAGCCTACCATGCGAAATTGAGTCAACCATTTCAAGAATCTCCACCTTGACTTTATTTCTTCCTGTAGTACTATTGTGAACTTCCTTTTACTGTTCCTAGATACTCCACCTTGACTTATTTTTTAATGACTTGGACAAAATAAAATGTTGAAATTTTTTTTGGTACCACGACATAAATTATTTTACTCAATCACATAGATATAATAAAAGTGGATATTTTAAAGGTTTTCTTTAAGAGGAAATGGGGAATCAATGGTTTCCATTTTCATACCACACATAGAAAAAGAGATGCGCTCCAAGACAACAGGAGAAACAAGTATGTATGTTTGGTTAACCTGGGTTGTTGTATGCGTGTAATGTCGTAGAATGGCACCAATGGTTTTTTCCCTTTGCTGTCGCCAAAATATCTACGGCACCGCAACGTGTTGAGTATTGCTTCATTTCCTCTATTTCTTGTCAGTAGTGACACCACACTCTCCACCTACCAAAAGTTGCTTGTGAGTTGCCATGTTGCACTGACAATACACATGTCACAATTTCAAGCCTTAGGATTTGGATCTCTATACATCATTATTTTTTTCTTATCGATAACTTTTCCTAATTATTTGTAGAGCGATTTGTGCTGATTCTCAACTTGTCAATATGATTAGTGCATTTTTCTTTCTTTTTATAATCCACATATCATTTTCAGAAGGTATTTTTGTTCGAGATAAGTATAAGATTAAGATTTTAAATCTCTTCTAAAAATAATATTAAGGAGGATCGAATATATGATCTCACCACATTTGCTCAACTTTTACATGTCAACTGAATTATCGTCATTTGATGTTAATGAATTTTTCTAATCTTATATAGGAATGTTTCTTTAATCTAAATTTTTCTAATCTTATATAGGAATGTTTCTTTAATCTAAATTTTTCTATAATACAAAAATCGAACAAGCCTTTTGTCAAAATACGAATAAATTTTTCTTAATTATAGTAAATTCTCCCATTAAAACTACATAAGAAATATATATAATTGATTGAAAAAACTAAAAATTAAATTTATTAAAACATTTATAATTAGTTTCACAAAATAATTTAATTTTTTTGAGAAAATAAAAATAGTGCATATCATTTTTTAAGAAAAAATAAATTAAGAAATTCAAATATTTTCAAAAAATATTTCATTAACAGAAAAATATTTCTGTAATTGCAGCAAAAATATTTATCTGCTACACACTATGGCGGAGCCACATATAGTCTGGGTGTGGCATCAGCTCGAGCTAAATTTTATCAAATTATATTTATTATATATAATTAATTATAATTTGACCCGAGTTAAAATCGTAATTTGACCCGGGCTACAATTTTTAATTTGGCCTTATCTAAAACGGAAAATAGTTTTGGTGAAAAATTTAGATAAGTTCTATTAAGTTATGTGCTTTGTATTTAATATAATTTAAATATATTATGATATGAATTAATTAAAATTAAGAAAAATAAATATACATAATTTTTTGGTGCGGACTCAAATTAGAGCCTAACTCCACCACTAACCCTATGTATTCTCATAAATATATATTATAATTTTTGAAATTAATTGTATTTTTGTGGGACTCACTTTTTATTTAATGAGAATGGCAGACAACCCTTTATTGCATGTATATAAATAACCATATAATTTTAATTTTATTGCACTGCACACCGCATAGATGAGAATAACATGTGTACACGCCTTTCAGTCGGATTCTCATCAAACTGTTTCAGAAAGAATCATAACATAAACGAGGGATGAAGATTGAAGACGATAAATATTATTATAAAATTAAAATAAAAGAAGTTTTGTGGGATTCTCATTCTATTCCCACCATTGGTCATTGTCCACTGACACTATCCGGTATCCTGTAACTAATATTCTATTATTCTTAATTTGCAACTTGGCCCTCATCATATCTTATTCTGGCTTCTCTTTTCCAAGGAAAAAGTTCTCCTTGCTTTCCTTTTAAGTACTGTTTGTTTCTAATGGCCATGTTGTGGGTCCCATGCACCTGCACTACATTCATTAATCATTCAACTGAGTCAACTCACTTTATCTTCCTTGAAACTCGTCACGACACGACCAAAAGTTTCTCCTACTCCACTTGCTTCGCTCCTGTCATATCATATCAGTGTTCTGTTCATGCCCTTCATGATGTTCTCCAACCAACGCCTCAAACTAGTAGGTTTTCTACTTTGCTTACCCCTGTCAAATACTAGCGTTGCTTCTTCTGGTGTAAATAGAAGCTTCAATGTTGACAACCATACCATGTAGGATTCTTTAATCCAAATGCAGGGTTTTTTATGTTCTATGATTCTTCTTATCTCTCTCTTGTATTTCTTTTTAAAAAAAAAAAACAAAAACTGAATTACTTGTTCTTTAATTTGTCGCTGTAATGAACTTCATATGCACAGTTCTTGCAACTACGTTATTGTGTGTAACTGTCACGCAGGGGAACACACCTTGTCTTTGGTTTGAATAAATGCCCTGTTTTGGTTTCTTAAGCTGCTATTTATGTTTTTCTTATACTCTTGATTTCTCTCGTGTTTGCCTTTGGTGTAACAAAGAGTTATGAACTTGTATATCCCGCTAGAAAATTATTATTTGAAATAAAAAGTTTATATCTTTTGTGAGCATAATGTTTGTATATATATATATATATATATATATATATATATATATATATAGAATGTTGGGTTTATGATGAGTTTAAGTCACATGCGCTTTAACCGTCCAAGCTAAGGTTTTTTTTCTTGTGAAAATGTTATTAACGTGTGTTTCTCTTGGTGAATATTTCTTACCCTTGAGAAATATGAAAAGGGACTCGTCTAGATGGTGAATTCTCCTTCGAGGTGAAAGTGGCTTATATGTTTCACTCAAATTTTGGCTGGGGTGCTCTCAAAATATTGACAAGGTGGCTGATATTCCTTAGTGTCTTGAGACTCAGTTATCCAACCACAGATCCTGATGTGGAAGGTGTGGTAAAATTATCTGTTTTTCTTTTCTCAAGTGAAGAATATACTGTTTAATTTTGATCCCATATCAGTGTAATGAATTTTATACTATTAATGAATCATATGATACATGTTTAAAAAAAAATGTCAAAAGCTTAGTTACTATAATCATGTTATTTGACACATGGGTGCTAGTACCCAACTTTTATAACTTTAAAATTCATAAACACTTGTGTTGCTCTATCCCATTAATGATCTTAGGTTTTCCACATGTTAGAAATTAGATTATTACTACATTTTATCCCCATAAACCTTTTCGACCATGTTATTCTCCTGTTCATGCATAACTTCAACTCCCATTTGACAATGTTTTGTTATCTATTGACTGTTGACAGTCTTAATTGAATCATTTAGATCTATATTAACATCATTATCTGTTTTGGCTAATATCCAGGTGAAGCTTTGCTTGAATTTTTGAAGGCCCTCAATGATTCCAATAATCAAATTAGAGACTGGGATAGTTATTTTGTGAGCCCGTGCTATAGTTGGTCTAATGTCACTTGTAGTAACAGACATGTTATATCTCTGTAAGTTCATACACATGGAATGTAGAGAATGCTTCTGACTACTATTTTCTTAATCTGGTTTTTTTGGTACTTATCTATATTGGTTTTATTTCACACAGGAAATTTTATTAAGGTTTGCAGCAGTAATTTAGCTTGACCGTGCACTAATTGATCTGCAGGAGCCTGGCATCCAATGGATTTTCTGGAACCCTTTCTCCCTCAATTGCCAAATTGAAATATTTGGTTAGCTTGTAAGTGTTATCGTGATAGTTTAACATTTGTAAGACTTGGTAATTCTGCTAATGTACTTATGCAGCAAAACCAATTAACATTATTTTTATGGAAAAACATTTTCTCATATTGCATAAGAATTCGATTCTCATGTTATGACTCTTCGATTTGCATGCAAAGCTTTTCTTTTCTTTTTCATTTTTTAATAAATGTGGGGCCCACCACTAGTTGAGTCACAACATGAGAATTCAATTCTTATGCAACATGAGAAAATCAAACCCCTTATTTTATACTAGTAAATTTTCCTGGATCTTGGAATATGATGCCATAGATGAGAGGGAAATGTTTGTATTTTACTTTTGGGAATCAATAATGAATTTGGACAAATGCATACTGTCATTTTCCAAGTAACCACTTCACTGTTATAAACTGAAAGTCATTTTCTGAATATTGATTAATTTCAGATTCAATCCAAAATGTCATTTTACTAAGAAAATTTTATGCCTTAAAGAATGTATCATCAAATTGTAAGGCAATCCAATTCTTATTCTGGCAGATTGTAAGAAATCATGTAAAACATATACCAAATCTCCAGTTCGGTGAATACATTGGCTAATGGCATGGTTTCTCATGCAGGGAATTGCAGAACAACAATCTTTCAGGCCCCTTACCTGATTACATTGCCAACTTGACAAACCTAGAATATCTAAATCTTGCTGATAATAATTTTAAAGGTTCTATACCAGCTACATGGGGTCAACTTTCCAATCTAAAGCATCTGTATGGCTGCACTTTCCACTTTCCATTTCTAGATGGTCCTTTTCCCTCCTTAAATGTATAAAAAATGATTAAAAAAGGTTTCTTGGATTATCATGAGGTATATTATTGACACTGTTGATCTCATGCATGATCCAGGTTCTTGAGAGGGAATGACTTATCTGGACACATTCCCGATACTGTTGCAAACCTTAGTGGGTTGGCAGAACTGTAAGAATTTTTATTCTGAAGAAGAATATTTTTCTTTTAATGACTTGTTGCTGGCATTCTTTATTGCATAAAAATTTCTGGTGCTTCTCATATCCTAATCTTATATGCAATATGGTGCTTCTATATTTTTATTAGTGCTTTCATTTGACAGGGATCTTTCATCTAATGGTCTTACTGGAAGTATCCCAATGCCACTCTTTTCGATTCCATTGTTTAAGTAAATTTCATTAGAACATCATTGTTTGAGTATTTTCATTAAGTTACAAATATTTCTGTACTCTTGTAATTTATGGCTTCGTTTTATTTCATGTTACAGTTTTTCAGATACGCTCCTTCGTTGTGGGTCTAGATTGGAGCAGCCTTGTGTTTCAAATTCTGCACTTTCTGGTTTGTTTTTAACCTTTATGTTTTGTCCATATAGCTTCAATATGTAAATTAGTTTAAGATTGACACATCCCTCAAAATAAATAAATAAAAGTTAGCTAGAAGGTACTTAGCTTTTACCACTTCCTGCAGCTTCAACCAACAAATCAAAACGTGCAGTAGTTGTTAGTTTTGCAAGTTGTGGTTCATTTGCCTTTTTGTGTCTTGTGGCTATCTTTGCCTATAGATGCCATCTCATGCAGAGACACAAAAGTGATGTCTTTTTTGATGTTCCAGGTAATTTTTTCTTTCTATTTAAAATTCCTTCGGTCCAAGCATGAGCTAACTTATGTCTAGTGGCAAAAAATGTTCCTCTATTTAATGAAATATATAGAAAATATTTCCATTTAGAAGGCTTAGTTTATTTAGTAAAAATGTAAATATATGAATGATTTAAGTACCTTAAGAGTGATACATAATGCCTGGAAAACTCCTTTCAAGGGTAATATCTGATAAATTTTACAGGTGAAGATGAGAGCCAAATTTCCTTTTGGCAATTGAGAAGATTTTCATGGCGTGAACTCCAACATGCTACTAAAAATTTCAGTGAAAGCCATGTAGTTGGCCAGGGGGGCTTTGGAAAAGTTTATAGAGGAGTACTCTCAGATAGTACAAAAGTTGCTGTGAAACGCCTTGCTGATTATCATACTCCTGGTGGAGAGGCTGCATTCCAAAGAGAAGTTCAACTTCTAAGTGTTGCAGTTCATAAGAATCTCCTAAGATTGATTGGTTTCTGTACAACCTCAACTGAAAGAATCCTAGTGTATCCTTTCATGGAAAATCGAAGTGTAGCATATCGACTGAGAGGTATATATTATTATAATTGTTAGAGAAGTATAAAACCATTAAAGTAGCCTCACCCAACAGCTTAAGCTTTTGAGTTGAAATTGGTTCTTTACATGGTATCAGAGTCTTGGTGTCACAGGTTCGATCCTCACCATCCCCCTTTTAGTTAATAATTAATTAAGTCTTGTGGAGTCTCTTAGCCTGGGTAGGTAGACCTGTACATTATCCACTCTTCAAGTCCAATGGGCTCTTGTGTGAGGGGATGTATTAGAGAAGTATAAAACCATTAAGGTAGCCTCATCCAACAACTCAAGCTTTTGGGTTGGAATTGGTTCTTTACAATAACTTCCTCCATCAATGTTAGGACAACTTCAATCACACACTATAGCAAATAGAAAAAAACACGAGACACGGTTTACTGTGGTTCACCCCAATATAAGGTTACGTCGAAGTTCACCTCTATATAAGGTTACGTCCAAGTTTGTCACTATATTCTTCTCACAATACTCGGTATTAGAGAATATAAATGGACTTAGATAACCATAAACCGCAATAGCTATTCATAGGCCCAAAAAATTACAAAATAAAACCGAGACTTACAATAGTATCAAGCTTCTATGACTAGGGAGCCTGGCCCTTACGCCAGACCCTCTATAAGTCATTATCTTGATGCAAAGTACGAGTCATACTCAACAATTCTCCCAATAATGGCTAGGCTAGATTGCAGTTTTTTTAATTATCACCAAGGCTCAAACTTCAGGTCCTGTAAAAGCAAGTCATATTCTTTGAGAGCATAATATATAGTTGCAGAAACATAGAATGGACATCAACCCAGGTCATCAGTGTGCTAATTAGTGTTTTATACAATTTTAAGAGGCATGCAAAGATGAATAGATGCAAACAGTTCTAAGTGAAACAGAGAAATTAAGGAATTGGTTATTTAATCTAGCACTAATAAGATTTATGATATTTGCTTGTGACATTATTTCTAAATGTTGCTTTAGATTTAAAACCGGATGAGAAAGGTTTGGACTGGCCAATGAGGAAACGGGTGGCTTTTGGTACAGCTCATGGCTTGGAGTATCTACATGAGCAATGCAATCCTAAGATAATACACCGGGATTTGAAGGCTGCAAATATCTTACTAGATGATGACTTTGAAGCTGTTCTAGGAGATTTTGGGCTAGCTAAGCTAGTAGATACAAGGATGACTCATGTTACCACTGAAGTGCGAGGCACAATGGGTCATATAGCCCCAGAATATTTATCCACAGGAAAATCATCAGAAAAGACAGATGTCTTTGGATATGGTATAACACTTCTTGAACTAGTAACTGGACAACGTACAATTGACTTCTTTCGGCTTCAAGAGGAGGAGGATGTTCTTCTGCTTGATCATGTAACTATTTCTTTATTATTTAACATCAACCATGCTTAATGGTTATACATGTTTATTGTTAGAGTTTAATATAAACCATTAAAGAGGCTTTCACCCAATACCTTAAGATTTTAGGTTGAAGTGGTTCTTTACATGGTATCAGAGCTTCAGTGACCACAAGGTCACGAGTTTGATCCTCACTGTCCCTCACTTTCTAGTGAAATTAAAATAAGTACATGGTAAACAAAAAATTGGACTTGTGTAATATCCACGCTTCAAGGCCAAAGGACTCTTGCGTAAGGGGATGTGTTAGAGTTTAATATATACCATTAAAGAGCCCTCACCTGACAGCTTAAGCTTTTAGGTTGAATTGGTTCTTTACATTTATCAATTTAAGGAATCTTATTAGATTTTGTTTTCATTTTTTTTATTAGATGTGATGTTTATGTTGATGAATGATCTATATACAGATCAAAGAGCTACTGAGAGAAAATAGGCTGGAGGATATAGTGGATAGAAATTTGCAGACTTATGATCTCAAAGAAGTTGAGGCCATTGTTCATGTTGCATTGCTTTGCACTCAAGGTTTCCCTGAGGAACGTCCAACCATGTCAGAGGTAGTAAAGATGCTTAAGGGTGTGGGTTTGGCAGAGAGATGGGTTGACTGGGAGCAACATGAAGAGGTGAGTAATCAACTCATGTCTCACCAGTTTGTTTGGAATGATGAATCTACACCTCATCAAGAGGCTATACAACTTTCCAGAGCAAGATAGACATATAGCTGGAGTCAATTTTGAAATGTAATTGCTTGTAACATAATGTTAGCTTTTCCTATTTATATCTGAGGATTAGTGTATCGTTTATTTCTAATCTTATTGTACAAAAAAATGTTTCATTTAAAATATCTTGTGATTTCTGAAGCAGTGAGATAAGCATTGAATCATGAAAATTGAGTCCTGCTCCTTATGTAAAGAAAAAGAAAAAACAACAAAAGCATAACAAGGTTATTCTTCCTAATTACACGCTTACAAGATTGATGTTGCCGACGAAGTGTGGATTTGACGTTATTGTCTTATAATTTGGATAGAAAATGCCTTCAAATTTGTTTAAATTGTGTAATTATAGTATTTTTTAAATTCTATATTTCAATATATAATAATATAAAGATTGAATTGCATACTTTATCTATTATTCATTCATAGATTTATTGAATCATGAAAGTTTACCTAAATATTACAGTGAAATTGCTGATTCTATGTAAGATAATTGTAACATTAATTAATGGTTTCGCTTTTTCTACTGCATATAAGTTATCTGCAGTAAGTCCAATACAACATTATTTTGGATGTAAATTATGGTGTTTTTATAATTTTAATTTATTTCCGGATTATAATAGTCTTTATATTTATAATTTTTTAAGATTTTAATACCAAAACGACGTCGTTTTGAGAATAAATGCAGATAATTTATCTGCATTAACTGCAGAAATATTTTTCCCTTAATTAAAATAACAAAATTATATTCCTCACAATTGTTCATCTTCATTTTTTTTTTTACAAGTTTATGTTTAAAAAAATTAGCACATGAAAAATATTAAATATAGACATGACAGTTTTACTATTTTGTAATATTTTAAAAATAAATAACACATAAATAACAAACTCTGAATATTCTCTATCTACTTTCTTCATCATTTTTGTTTTGTTTATCATTCTCGTAATTTTTTCTTCAAAATTTTCTCTCTATTTTTTTGAAATTTTTTCCTCATTTTATATTCACATTCTTTTTTTAATGACAAAAATAATATATGAAATTTTAAAACCTGCACATATATACGTATGTACTAAATTAACATGTGTGAGACGCAAGGAGATATAAAAAACAATTGAATAAAACTCGATGATAAAGATTGACTTTTTGACTCTTTTGTCTTTCATTAATTAAAAAATAACCTACAAAATAAATGTTAAAATAACATGCAAATCTCATGTCAAAATGAATCTTTGAACTCATGTACCCTCAAAACAAAGAGTTTCAATGTATTAGAATATTTATAATATACAAAGAATGAAATTCCACAACAGGTAGGTATCAATGAATTTTTAACATACCTAGTTTCATCAATGTTTTCTTTAATTTCACATTCCTAAACTTAGTATTAAAGTTGCTTCCGACGTGACGTAGGCGAAACACATGATAGTCAAATGGAGGTTGCCAGCCAACCAGCATGTTCTCTGACCGCTCTTATGATGTTGGGGTGACGATCGAATATTAAACAAATATCTTGCCTTGCCCATGTGTCACATGAAAACGTATAAGGCTAAGAAACCACGACCAATCTTTCAACTTCTCACCTGGAGGAACAACAACAAAGGCAATAGGTAACACATATCTATCTCCATCCTGTGACGTCGCAATCAAAAGAGTTCCTTTATATTTCCCATACATGCCATTGATTTCAATTATGGACTTACAATATTTGAAGGCCTCAATGCACTGGTGAAATATCCAAAAAAAACCTATAAAAGATGGCCTTGTCGGTATAAACTCGACGTTCGTCAAAACATTCATCTGCATCAAGCTTGAAGATAGAATCCACATTACACTACGTCATGTATGTCAGCCAGTTAGGCACGAATGCATATGATTTGTCTCAATCACCAAATAACTTCACAATGCCCTTTAATTTTTCCTTCCAAGCCTTCCTGTAAGTTATATTGTATCCATACAGACGTTGTATCATCTCTTGTATCAGAATTAGTTTTAAAGCTGGATCTTCCCTTAACATACCTATAAAAAACAAAGCAAGTTCTCAATATTGTCAATAAACATTCTTAACTAAATAAATAACACTAACAAACCATATGTAACTGCACGTCATACAAAACATACTTATAATCTTAGGCAAGACCTTTGTTCAAGCAAATGTGATCTTTACCCAACTTACTGACCATCCAAGTATTTCCATTCTTCAGCATGATTGCCCTCATATACAAGGGACAACCATCTTTGTGATTTTGACACTTCATCACAAATCTATGCTCATCGCTTTTTGCAACTACAGTTGTACAATGAGTCTTCATACAATGTAAATTCATGACATGTTGCATTTCTGATTTGGAACGAAACTCCTGATACACTTATAATGGATCCCCTAATTGTCAACCACCGTGCAAGTCATCGTCACCATACAACATCGTCATCTCGTCATCAAAGTACGCCCAATTAATGAAGGAGAAACTCCTGATACATATATAATATATCCCCTAATTCCTAACCACCGTGCAAGTCATCGTCATCATACAACATCTTCATCTCATCATTATGGTACGCCCAATTAATGAAGGAATAATGCGGGCTTTCATTCCAAAATGGATCAATCTCAAGCCCTACATCTAAAGCATGATATTTTTGTCAGAAACAATAAAAATAAAAATATGAAATGTTACATAATAAATTAAATTTACTAACTTACCATTGCTAATTGGGTCAACATGAAGTGGTGACATAGCAGGAGAACTCAGGTTTACTTGTTTGTGTCAGCGTCAAAATCACCTTTCACGTCAGTATCTAAGGTATCACTAGTGAAATAACACTATTAGGTTCTCCCTCCTCATTGTTGTCCATTTCCTCCTCCTCCTCTCCCTCCCTCAATGTTATCTGACTTAACCCTTGTGCAGGTGCAGATAAACTGACAACTCTGTCTTCTTGACCAAAATGTTGTGGAGTTCTTGTATGCATAGGTGTAGATGGAGATTGACCAAAATCAACTTTAAAATATATCTCAATAAAATTTTGAAATTCCCGGTCTGTAATTGCATCTATGACACATTTCACATCTTCATCATTAAGATATCGTCACGAATATAGTATATAGCATCCTTAGCAACTGTAGTCTCTACCCTGCCTATCATCCGATGAATGCGTTGGCTGCCTTGTAGCCCCAATTTTTGCTAAATTCTTCGCTTGAGCTCGTTATATGTAGTGCCCCGTTTGTTTTTCATCATTTTGGTTTTTTCTTCAAATTGAACACCAGTGGAACCTTCAAAATGTCTCCCATCGTGGTAGATAACTGTAACATACATGTTTGAACTTGAACTCATCTTTCACATGAAATTGAGACTAGGGTTCGAAAATTTTGGGTTTGGGTTCAAATTTTACCCAAAAAAAAGAATATGTAAGTGTAATAGCGATGTTTTCACAAGATTAAGACTTTAGAGTTTGTGGGATGAAACAGCCTCTTGATGGGTTAGATTACATATGAGAAACGAGAGAGAATTTAGTGTAAAAAACGAGTATAAGTGAAATAAGACCGAGACATATAGATATTGGGGTTCTGGCATTATTTAATCGATTCAGTGTTTTGGACATTTTTTTTATTGTTTAATCGATTAAGTCCCGCCGTTTAATTGATTAAACAGGGACATATTGGTGAAATATTTTGATTGAAGGACAAAATAATTATGTTTTAATTAATGAAGGTCAAAAGGTCAAAAGTCAATAAAGATTAGTCATTCTTAGTAAGAGTAACAAAATCATCAATTATAAGTGTTGCCATAGTATAAAGCATACTAAAATTTACAATTCAATATTTAAATTAATTATAGATTTTAAAGGTAGTTATTGTTGGATCAATTTGAATTCAACGGTTAAAAAGTGAAAAAAATTAATTGCTATTGATTTTAAATTAATCAAACGGTAATCATAGCAAGAGTAATAAAACTAAAATATAGTAAATATAAGTTTCCTCCATATTTTAGGATATTGTAACAATCAATTAGGGGTACTATCAATATTATTACCAATCATTTTTATCGTTAGATCGATTGTGTTGATCCAACGGTTATATTTATTTTCATCTTTGTATGGTTATAATCCCTCATATTTAATACTTTATATTTATTTTCACATTTGTATGGTTATGATTCTCCATATTTAATGTGAAATGGGGCGTTATAACCCTACAAAGATGGAAATAAATATAATCATTAGATCAATATAATCGATCTAATGGTTAAATTAATTGATAATAATATTAATAATAATCTTAATTGATTGTTACAATATCTTATCCCATATTTTAAAGTGATCAATACATTGATGTTAAAAAGGAAATATAGAAAGGGGGAAATGGCTCGAGTAGGGTTTGTGTCTGTGATGGTTTATTAGCGAAATCCGAATCCAAGTAATGGTTGTGGGGAAGTATTGATGTTAGGTTTGAACAGTGAACTGTGAAGGACATGGCTCGTAGCTTGTCGCGTTCACCTTCCTACAGAAGAAGACACTCTCCATCCCCTCTTTCTCGCCGCCACTCTCGAACCAGAACCACCAGACGCCACTCTCCGACCCACAAACGCCGCCGAAGGCACAGAACCAGAAGCCGAAGCCGAAGCCGAAGCACTGCCTCGCTCTCTCCTAAACCTAAATCACGCAGTCCTACTCCTAAACCCAAAAAAGACCTCCAACAAAACAAAAGGTAACCCCATCTCTCTCTCTCTCTCTCTCTCTCTCTCTCTTCAATACTATAAAACAAATTCCAAGCTTGTGCTTTCTACATTTAATTTGTGAAGGGTTCGCTACTTTTCGTTTTTAACTATATTAAAAAAAGGTTATTTGATCTGAGAAATAATATAACAATAATGCAATGCAGAATATCAAGCCATTGTGCCAATGCAGAATAAACATAACAAACTTCACTTGTTCTGAATCAGAAACTTGTTTAGAGAGGTATGCCTTGTATGCATAATAAACTAGCTAGAAACTTAATAAACAAATATCAAAGTGAAGCGTTGGTTTTATTTATTTATTTATTTATTTATTTATGCTGTTTTCTGGGTATATAAATTATCATGACTTGCTTGTTATTAGAGAAGTAACCGCTCGGTTATTCAGCAGCAGCAATATGCTGTGACTGATCCTAGACCAGTCTCATTGCTCCTGCATTTTCTGTTTAAGTTTGCTTAATGCTGAGTCAGCTTCTGTTATTTTAGTTTCAATTAGTTATTACTACTGAGCTGTAATCTGTTAGATTTGGTTGAGATCTGTTATAGTTTAGTTCTGAGTTGGTTATTCAGCTAGCTCTTGTACATCTATAAATTCAGCTCTGCTATTGAAGAGAATAACAAGAATCAGTATCATCAGAAATTTACCCAGAACAATGTTCTCTCTCTCTCTCTACACTTTTCTTGCTTTTTCTCTCGTTTTCTTTGACTTGTGAATCTTTCTTTGTCATCAATGATAATTTATTTATGTTCTCCGATATTTGCATTCGGTAGCAGGCATCAACAGGAGGAGGAAGATTTGAAGCAATTGGAAGAAGAGGCTGCAAGAAGAATCGAAGAAGCAATTCGAAAAAACGTTGAAGAGAGGCTTAATTCAGAAGAAGTCAAGAAAGAAATAGAAAGGCGCATAGCAGAGGGCATTAAGAAATTGTTTGATGATGTTGAAGTTCAACTTGCGAAAGAAAAGGAGGATGCTCTTGCTGAAGCTAGAAGGAAAGAAGTAAGTATTCTAACTGAGACTTTCTTTTTCTTTTTTTGTTTTGTTCTTCCTTTCTCTGGAAGGAAAAATCAGGAGCAAGTGATTGATCATTCTCTGAATAAATTGTATTATAATATTGGAGAGAGTTTCAAGCATTAAAATTTTAAAATGTATCATCATATTGTCAGTAATTGAAAATTTTAGTATGGATAAACTTTGTATAGTAGTTTGAGATAACCTTTAAGCATCTTTTATCTGGTAAACAAGGTGCCGCTCTACCAGAACCCAGGATCCTAAAATGAGTTAGTCCTGTCAGTGTCAAATATTAATCATATTATGATAATGTTCTTGTATATGTAACGCAATTTCCAGATTTGATTCAAGATTTATACGGAGCCATTTGTTTAAATTACCATTTCTTTTAATATCTTCACTTGTTGGCACTATAAATCATCAGGTAACTTGTTGAATGTTTCTTTCCATGTGAAGCCTGACAAATGCGCTATTTCTGATTTGTATCTAAAAATGTGCATATTACTTTTAACCTATGGCTTCTAGGAGGCAGGGTAAAGTCTTTGGGCCTATTTGGTTTACGGAAATTTTTTCTGTTTTCATTTTTGGTTTTTACTGATAGTACAAAATGTCACTTTGTTTCTTGTTTTCAAAGATTTATGTAGGAAATGCTGAAAACAGTGTGTTTTTGGCCATTTCCTGCATAAATCTTTGAAAGCCTGAAATGAAAACAAGGTAGTTTGTAATAATTAGTAAAAACAGAGAACATTTTCTTAAACAAAAGAACCCTTAATGTGGTTCCTTTTTTTTGGTCGCAGACTTGTTCATACATGTAATTTACAGTCACAGAAAAAAAAATCATGTTCTCATTTGAGGATTGTGATGTGTTGTTGACATCCTGCAGAAACAAGCTCAAAAAGAGAGAGAAGAGCTAGATAAGATGCTTGAAGAGAATAGGAGGAGAGTGGAAGAGGCTCAGAGAAAAGAAGCACTAGAGCTGCAACGAAAGGAGGAGGAACGGCAAAGGGAATTAGAGATGATTCGGAGACAGAAAGAAGAGACTGCTTGGAGAAAGAAGGTGGAGGAGGAAGAAGAACATGCTAATCGAATTAATTCTTTGGCCAAGAATAAATCTAGGCCTAAGTCTTACGGTTTGTAATTACTATTAGGTGATGCCATTTTGTGCCCCAGCTTATTTGTACCCTTGTTAGAAGCCATGATCTTGAATGAAAATTGATACTCCTATAATGAGCTTCCAACCCACTTTATTACAAGATCAAAGAAAATTGAATGTTGTTTTCTATCCAAGATACTAGTATGTTGAAGTTTATTTGCTTTACATGACAAAATGGCTGTCCCTGCTATGGCCCTGTTTAACTGGTTTGGAACTTTTCAGTTTATACGCAGTAGTCAACGATCAGTAAAGTGAATGATAGGTATGATGTGTAGGACATAACCTTGTATCCCCGCTTCATTCCAATTGAGGTTTGTAGCAAGGAGGACTGGTATAGAGATGCTCTTCAGAGGTCCTTCTACTGCACCCTCTGGACTAATAAAAAGATTTGATATCACAAGTTCACAACAATCATCTTGAATGTTTTTGTTTCTTAATAATGTGTTAAAATATTAGATGATAGTGATTAAAATATTTCTACCAGCATCAAATTTAAATCTAATTTGAATTCTCTTTTAATTATATTTTCTGTGCTCCTAATAACTAATTGTCTAGTTTAGGTAGAGAATTTGATATTGTCGAAAACAACCCACTCTGTATTTGTTGCTGCTGTCACAATTTGAATCAGTATACCTACCATAACCACTTGGGAAAAAATAGGGGAAGTACTATCTCATGAGGAAAAGCGGTAATTATTATTTTAATAACAGAAAAACGATTTTCAATGTTGCTGTAGAGAAGCCTTCTGCCTTTATGGATCTGTTAGACTTCTTTGGTGTACATTTATCTTAAGTACATGATATGCATTGTTATTTTGTTTGTTGGGGATCAATTTTTATGTTCTTAGATATAAGTATTTTCTATTATAGACACATAACATCATTGGGCTTACCATCCAAAAGAAAAAAAGAAAATAGTGCGACTGACACTATTTTCGATATGAGAGTGGCATAAGATATATCTCTCATGTAAAATGAGAAAATGATTTTCCTTGTTTAAATAATATGTCATCCTCATGGTTCTAATTAAAGTCAGCCATATTAACTGTCATAAAATGTTGGATAGCATTTCTCATTTTGTTTACAATCATAGTCATGAGTGTTTATTTTCATAAAAGCCCAAGTAACTTTTAGAAATGACTGTGAATATGTGAATTTGTTCAAAAGTACTATTACAATGGACCTGCTGTTTAGGTTTAACTTTAAAACTGTCAACATTATTTTAGGTTGGATTTTACAATATGTACATATTCATTTATAATTTTAAATTATTTAAAATAAATAACATGTTACACATGAAATTTTCGTGAACCGGAATATATGATAAAACAAATCTAACTTTGAAATGGGAAGCTTAGCTTGTCTCCGTCCTCTAACTTTGAACGTTCAAAGATGCAGTATTCGATATTCAACTACAGGTAGGAGTAGTCTTGAGGGTTTATTATATTTGTTTCTTCAACTCTTGCCTTATTAATGCCCCTTCGCAAGGTTGTCAGCATTGGGAAATTTATTTTTAGATCTTCGTTTATAGTCAAGAGCCAAAAACCATCAGACATTTTTTTTCTTTATTAAATTAAAATTTCTTACTGTATTAAAAGAGGGGAAATATTTTTCTCATGAGACAAATTATTTAATGCAATACACAAAAAAATGGGTGGAACCCACTAAGAGGAAGAAGAGAGAGAAAAAAAAAGTGGGTCATACCCACTTTTTTGTGTGTTGCATGAGACAGTTTATCTCATGTAACATGGTAAAAACATATCCTTTACAAGAAATGGTTAAATGATTCTCCTATTGCATAAGAGTCATTGTCTCATGTCATAAAGACAAAAAAAAAAAATGTTAGACCCACATGTGAAAAAAAAAAAGCCAAGACACAAAATTCGATTGTCAACGGTAGAATTTTTTTTTTCTCCTGTGTGACTGGGAAGTCACAATTCTCTAGGGGCGTTTGGTACAGGAATTTTTTTTTTTTGTCTGAAAATCTCAATTTTCAAAAATATGATTTTTATCTTCAGTTCAAAAATTAAAAATTTTAAAAAATTCTATTTTGCGAAAATCCGAAAAAATGCTGCATACCAAACGTTCCTTAAAAGAAAACCTTGTTAAACAAGGAAAATTTCTATCGCAGTCCTATAGACCAGTTTACACAAGAAACACTCCTACACAATGACACAGCCGCAGTCGTAAAGGAAATGCAGTAAGATGAGTGGTTTAGAAACACGGCCCTTCTACACTACGAGAGAGAAGAAGCAAGGTGTAGAACATATTTCATTGACTCAATCATTTAAGAATTCGGCTCCTCTAAAACGACGAGTGTACGTTAAAGAAAAATACATAGTTATAATTATTGATTCAACGGTTGAAATTGTGATATGCACATTTATTATATACTAAGATGTTAAAATTTACTAGCTTAATTTTTTAATTAAGGACTATAATTTAATAATTTTTTCACTTTGTAATGGCCAATGCCATATCCTTCTTTCAAAGACTCAAAATTTTCAAATCATTAAAGTCTAATTTACATACCCATTAGTAGAGAAGCCTAATAAATGGAAGCGACCCATGTAGGCTAGTTTAGGAAATGGATCATCTGATGTATAATTTAACATATCATATCATGTGGGAGGATCTTAACCATTAATAATTAAATTAACGGTACTGATTGTGTAATTTCCTATCCTTATATTTTTTTTTCTGCTCTCTTATCACCGTTAACTCACTCATGTATGATTATGATTGTCTCACATGACATGGTTATGTTAATTAGCACATGAGAAGATCCGCTCCGCATGCTCTGCAATACAGTTCCAAGTGAGTGAGACATAGAGTTGAGCCATCGTGGTCTTAAAAGCATTGTTGTGTTATGTTGACGACTTGCAGGATCCTGGTTGAATGGTGTGATTAAGGAGTCATGAATCCATGAATCAGGGATTGCACGCAACACCAATAATCATATTCATATCATGCTATTGCTAGAATTGAGTAAGAGGTAGCTTTACTCAAAGGGAAACAGGTCAAACATGCCTCTGGACCCGCCTGCAATGTTCCCTCTTAACTTTTATTGTTTTGGGTTAGGGTAGGTGATCTTCCTAAACCTATCACTAGATTAGTCATTTCAAATCAAATGGACACCTGCTAACTAGAAATGGCAAAAAAATGTCTAATGCTTTTTATGATTTTAAAGAGAAGGGAAATTGTTTTTGACAAAGAAGTATAAATTGACTAGAGTTTTGAATTTATGTATACTGGCCAAACGATCCTCCAGATGCAATTTTTTTAATTTTTTTTAAATAGTGTTATTTTTTAATACAAAATTAATCTAATGTTATTTTTTTTAGTCTTGTACGCTCCCATACTGGGCTACCATGTGTCTTATGTTGGTAAAATTCAGAATTTATTTTGAATAAAACTTAAGCACGGTTTATACTAATTTGTAAAACTAGTCTTGCACACTTTCATATGGGGACAGTGACTATTTTGTCATGTTTGGCCAAATTATTTACCAGACTATCATACCAACAGTAAAAATTTTCGAAATGTCACGCGACATAATTCGCTACACTGTGTAGCGATTTATGTTTGCAAATAATTCGCTACACAGTGTAGCGAATTATGCCATGTCAGGCTGCATAGTCAGTAAAAATGACATGTGTCAAGCAGACAACAATACAAGCATAATTCCCTACACAATGTAGCGAATTACTGCCTGCTTAACACGTGTCATTTTTGCTGACTGTGCAGCCTGACATGGCATAATTCGCTACACTGTGTAGCAAATTATTTGCAAATATAATTCGCTACGCAGTGTAGCGAATTATGCCGCGTGGCATTTGATAGAGTTAACTATCTGGAAAGGTAATATAGAGAAGAAATATACGTAATATGAAATTATCAACGGCAATTCAAGGATGCCGGCAACTCCAGAAGGGTTTTTGCAGGGAAGAAGGAGAAGTTTGTTACAAGATATTTGCATAAACCCTTAAGTGGTCCCCTATCAACCTATATAGCAACAGAAAGCAAAATTATAAAAATGACATTACGGATGGGCCTATGTATAACACAGCCCATTATTTCTACCACTTCTTGCTGATCAGCCCACCATGAGCTCTGCTCACTCACAGCCCATTACCCACTTCCATCTACCAACATCAGAGTTCCTCAACTGGCCACGTGGCCACATCACTCACCCACCATCTAAACACCTGTCAGCATCACAAAGTCTCTGAGCCATTGAGGTGTCCGCTTCTCTCTCCTCTTTGACCCACGTTGTTCCTCTCTGTTCGGTTCTACTCTCTGTCCTTCATCTTCTATTTTATCTTCCATAGCCACTGAGTTCGTGGAATCAGTGTGATCCCTTGGAGGACCTGTCTGACCATGCGGAAGGTTCCTATCAATTCCCTCCCCCCTCGAAGACACGATTTTGTCCTCAAGATCGGAGTTTGGGAAGGCTTGGCAAAACTCAGAGTATGAGATCCAAGATGCATCTTCCAACGGTAATCCCTCCCATTGCACTAAAAGTTGCAAAATTTCTTCCTTTCCATGTTGTAAGGCACGGGTTCGGAGTACAGCTACTGGTTTTGTGACCGGATGGTTATCCCAACTCACGCGAGGAAGAGGGGCTGAGTGGAATGCTGGGTTCTGTCGGTATTGCTTGAGAAGCGATACATGGAAGACAGGATGGATTCGCGACTCCTCTGGAAGCTCCAATCGATAAGCCACCAGACCGATTCGCTCCGTGATGGGGAAGGGTCCATAAAAACGGCGTCTAAGTTTGGAGAAGGTATGGTTGCGCACGGATATCTGTCGGTAAGGCTGTAATTTGACCAATACTAGAGTCCCAACCGTGAATTGTACATCTCTCCTCTTTTTATCTGCCTGATTCTTCATCCTCTGTCTTGTTTGGTGTAGAGTTTCCCTGAGTTTTCTGATTATCTCATCTCGCCGAGTCAACAAGGTGTCTACCGCCTCAACTGAGGATGTGGTGCCTTCATACAGTGGAATGGAGGGAAGAGCTCGCCCATACACAATCTGGAACGGTGAAGCCCCAATTGACGAATGGTATGCCGAATTATAAGAAAATTCAGCCCAGGGTAAATAGTGTACCCAGTGTTTAGGTGACTCCATGGTATAGCAGCGCAAATATTGTTCTAATCCCCTGTTAGTGACTTCTGTATGACCATCTGTTTCAGGGTGATTCGCGGTGCTGTAGCAGAGCTTGGTGCCACTCAAGCGAGCAAGCTCAACCCAAAATTTACTCACGAAGATGCTATCTCTGTCTGACACAATTGAACGGGGAATTCCATGTAACCTGTAGA